CCCCGCCGCCGTCCGCGCCCGCGCCCCGGAGCCGCGCCACAAAGGGCCCGCGCGCAGCCGCCGAGGCCGCCGCGCGAGGAGCCAGGATGGTCCTGGTCCACGTCGGTTATCTCGTGCTTCCAGTGTTTGGCTCTGTGCGAAACAGAGGTATCGCTTTTTCCTTTCGGGGTCTGCTTCCGAGCGTGGATCGCCGCAGGCACCGGGGCGGGGGCGGGCGCCGCGGGTGGTTGGGGGCTCAGGGCACACCCGCGAGGACGCAGGGTGAGGGGTGGCTTCTCCCTACCCCCTTTCCGGGGGACCCCCAAGTGTGGGGGTGGCCGCCCTCGTGGGAGCTTTTGTAGTGAAGTTAGGATTTGGCGAATTTGGGTCCCTCCCTTCCCAGCCCCATTTTTTATAATTTGCGGCGGACGTGGTTCCCCCAAATCACAGCCCCTTCCCCTAATACCAAGCCCTGTATGATCGAAAGGAGAGATACACGACTGTATGTGTGTGTGTGTGTGTGTGTGTGAGAGAGAGAGGGAGGAAGAGAGAGAGAATGAATGCTTGGTTTTCTGTGATTTGCTTTTTGTAAGGTGTATGTGTGTTTTGTGTTATTTACATTTTGTATTTCTTCATTTTTTTGGTCATTAATGCCGAGGGCTGGTTAGCCGGGATCTGGGTATCTGCCCTTTTCCACGCCCCAGCCCCCACCCTCTCTTGGGCACTTGCACGATTTTCTGTCCCATCCTTTTCTTCCCTTAAACCCTTTTTGTGTATCGCCCTTGTGCTATTGCCCGCCTCACCCTGCCCCCCGCAATTGTCTTTGTATGACAGTTGCATTTACGGGTTCAGGATGCTTGGGGGTGTGTGTATGTATGTGAGTGTGTGTGCATGTGTGTGAGTGTGCGCGCGCACCTCGGAGAGTCAGACGTGCGCTGCTGTGCACTCTGGGCCCGGCAGGAGCGGGGTATCTGGCCCTCGGGTGTTGCGCTGTGCGAGAGGAGGTGGGAAGCTGCCCCCACGCCAGGCCTTTGCCCCGGGCAGCGGTTGACAAAGCAGCAGGCCGGCGCGGGCTTTGTTTTTAAACTGTGATATATGGGGTGTGTTTGCACGGTCCCTCTCCCCACATCCCCTTTCCCTTACATTCTGCTACAACAGCTTGATTTCCCCCTCCCCCCCACTCCACGTTTCTTCCATTTTCTTTTAATAAAAATTTCCCACCTCCCAAAGCAAATCCAAGATGCATTTAGATTCATTTTTTTTTTTTCTTTTTGTATTCTGCCTCTGGACTCACATTTCTCTTCTTGGAAATGTTTCTTCTGTCCTCTCCCACTCCACGTCTGCTTAAATCCCCGCTGGCTCAGGCCCCCTCCCCCTCCCGCTCCCTCACACACAGAATGATGTCTTCCCTTTGCCGACCAGGGCTCCTCTACCAAGTCAGGGGGGTGGGGTCGCAGGGCCAGCGCTTCAGCGCGCCCCAGGGGCCCGATTGGGCAAGAAAAGGAAAGCCCAGCCCTATTTCTTCCAGCCCAGCTGTTCCCAGCCCCGCGCCTCTCCCAGAACCCAAAAGGCAAGGTTGGCCCCTTTAGGCCTGTTTGAACCTTAGTTTTTTTGTGTGATGATAGAATGATGACATTCTGCATTTATCAAATCTTTTTTTTTTCTTCATTGTGTAGCTCAGTGAATGGTCAACTCGCTGCTGTGTGCGCTGTGACCCTTCTGCCTCCGCATTTAGCTGTATTGTGACACCCCTCTTAACCATTTCCTGTCTCCATCTGAGGAAGGCATTGCTATTTAAGCGGCAGTATCCCCTATCTCAGGCCAGCCTAGCCATGGGGGGTGGTGGGGGAGTGGGTGTGTGAGGAAGAAGAAGGGGGTGGGGGTTTGGATGAGATCTTCTTGAAATGCCACCCCTCCCCCAATACACAATTATCTCTTATTACTTGGCATTTCCTCTTAAAACGGGTGTGGAACATTACACTAGGCAGAAATTCAAAAATGATTAAGAAGGATGTTGAGCCTGAAAGTATAATTATCCTGATTAAATCATTATCATCCTCATTAATACCACCAATCTCTAAATACCATTGCAGGATGCCGATTTCATGTTTTGAAATTCAAATTGCTCAGCTGCCTTTAAATTTTATTTTTAATTCTAACCCCATCAAAAAAAAAAAAAGAAATAAAAAATCTAACCAAACAAATTGTACCCACCAGTTAAAGTTTACTTTCCTGGCAAACATGCCCACAGGAAATTCAAGGGCTAAGGGGTGAGTTGGGCTGTGGGTAAAATTTAGCACAATGTGAGAAGAATTCATGACCTTCCGATAGAGGATACTAATGCTTAACTCAACAAGGTCCTAAACCACAATCTTCTTGTAAAACTATTAGATAGTCTGCCAGCTTAAATCTGTTCTTTTTAGTTTCCATTGTAGTAGTGTAGGATGTAGGCCATTTCAGAATAGATGTAGAGAAATAACCATTTTTGTATCTTCATCTTGTTTAGCCGAGTACATTGCACTGTAAATCCCTGTTAAGTGGATTCCTTTTGCCTTGGCTTGGAGGCTGTAGCACCCCATTTTCCAGTTATCTGGGTGGCCATCAGCTGGCTTCTGGCAGCACCCAGGCATAACTGAGGATTACATTTAGTTGGAGGCAAAAAAATTATTACACATATATATTTAAAGAAAGAAATCTTTGATGACATGACAGTTGCTGCTATTCCATAGCTTCTGAAAAAATTTGATGCGCCAAGGTCCCTGGCTTAAGGGGGAGCTGTGGCCATAGTGTCTTAATTGTTTAATTGTACAATGTCAAGAGCATCTTTGGACATCCGCCCTGGCCCTCAGAGCTGCCCCTCTAACAGCCGGCTCCCTTCTGCTGCTTGCCAGCCAGACCTGCTTGAAAACTGAAACAAAACAGCAGCAATAATGAAAGAATGAGGACCCTACTTCGAGGGCCCTTCCAAAATAAAGTCCCAAGTAGCCTCCCCAGACTGCCATTTGGCAATCTGAAAAGAAAGGGTTGGGGGAAAGAAAAGAAAAGAAAAAAGAATCCCAGCAAAATGGTTTTCCATTAAACAGGGGTAGCGTGTTCTGCTGTGCTGAATTACTTCCTGTTCTTATTTTGTGGGTAATTTTTTCTGTATCAAATATCCTTTTGGTTGTGTATCTTTTTCACCTTTTCTTGTACTAAAACTAAAGCATGATCTGTATTTTTTTACATCCCCCAGTTGACAATGTACAGCGCTCGGTTAGAGATGTTACCCTGCTGAAACGTACTGTGGTCGTGTAGCCCGGGCCATCTGCTCATTGTACGCTGCTTTTGTTCTGTTGCCCTTCCGAAGCATGGTGGGCCCAGCCTTTTTTTTTGTATCGTGTGCATGACGACATTGTTACACACAGAATCCACTAATACTAATATACAATCTCTCAATAAAGAACTAGTTTTCCTATATTAACCTAGTGTGCTTTTTCTCTTGCTGTTTTCCCATTTATTGTCGTATCCTGCTGTTTAGATTTCCCCCCTTGCTTTTCTATTCCCACCCTCACCCACCCACCACCCCCACCTCCCATTGTAAGATTTGAGTGAATGCCTTTTCTTTTTATTTTCCTTTTAGTTTATTTATTTATTTAATTTTTTTTTTCCGTGGTACTGATATGGTGACTTTAATCTCATTTAGTCCATATCTTTTTACAGTAGACATCTGGGGCCATAGGATGGGTGACCTGTCCTATTACACTGAAACAGCTCACCTGCATAGAGGAGACCCCTATCTTTGACCACATGTGTACTCAATATCTTCCACATTTCATCTTAGTTTCCAAGATACATGGGCACTGGGGTTACGATGCTGGTGAAGAAAAGGGGATATAACACTTAAGTTGAGAAAAGGGATACTGTTCTTAACTAGCAATCTTGTAGCATTTCAGACTCGCCTGAAAAACCCATTTCGAGTTGTGTTTTAACTTTTCTGTTAACTGTCTCATTGATTTACTGTCCTTATAAATCATGCTGGGGGTGATTTGTTCCATGTAGTTAAAGCCATGACTTGGAATTTTAAAGTACCCTCTTCGATGTGCATATTGAAATTTTTGGGAACTGCAATGTCAGTTTTGCATTGAGATCCTGGACAAGGAAGATGTTTGCAACAGAAACCAACTCAGACACCTCCTGCCCCAATGCCAGGGTCAGCAGCCCGACCTGTTACTGTAGGAATAAGAGGGTCTGTGCCCCCTGCAGGCTGTGAGCCAGTGAAAGCTGATTATAGTCTCCTTGCCTGAGCGGCTTCATCTGTGGCCCTAGGCCCTGTCTTAAAAGAAAGCCAGATCTCAGCCATTGTCTAAATGTGCTTGTGGGGTGGGGGTGGGGGAGATCAAGGGAAAGTCAGGACTCACCCCCAAATTGAATTGGAGAAGAATGCTTAAAATGTGTCTTTTTTCCGTATTGCTTTGGAGAAGCTGGTGGAGAGATATTTTCTCCCCCTAGAGAGGAACCCAAATTCAAGCATTTGTCAGTTACACCTATTCATTTTCAGCCCAGAACAAGCCTTGTTAAATGAGGCATTTTAGACACTGAGGAAAGCAGTTGATTAAAGAAATTCCTGGTCCCTTCAAAGGGTCATCATTTTGGAGCTGCTCCACCAGGGAGGGGCTGACTCCTGGGCTAACTTCTGCTCCTCCAGCTGGGCTGGTGCACCCCTGCCAGGCCATAGTGCTTCCTGGCCTTCTTTGTGGTTCCCTGTGACTCTCCTCTCCCCTCACACTGCCCTCTCTGCTCTGGCCCTTTGTTCTTGTGCTCTTCCCAGCCCGGGTGGGAAAGCTGAGCTGATTTACTGTGACACATGGACACACATGGATGTTCCCAGTGGAGGCTCGTGCTATAGTTTGTGCAGGAGGAGATACGCAAGTCTACAAGGCTAGTCCTTCCAGGATTTTGTTTCTTCTTTTTTGAAAAAAATTTGGTTTACATGAAACATTTAATTTTGTTCCTAGTTTGAGAAAGCAAAACAAACCACCCCAATGCAATCTCCAAAATAATAAAACTACCCTAAATCAGGTGATTGCCCTCATTTTTGTCCTAGAGAGCAGTGGCTCATTAGATCAATATCAACCAACTCCAAGATCTGTATTAACTTAGTATAAGTATGTCAGAATTGTTTGACAGTA